AGGAAAATTGTCCTTTACTCAGTTTCTTTCTTTCAATTGTAATATTGTCTGTCCATTTATTAATTAGTTGCTTTAGTACCGAACTCTCGGACAATGTAAATGGCCATCGTATTTCTCCTCAAGTTACTTTCAGTGCCAAGTCAGGTACTAAATCCATAATTCAATTTAAGATTACAGCGATTACGTGACAGTGCGGTTCATTTGACCCTGTTTGTTTGTTATTAAACACAAAGCTACACAATGGGCTATCTGTGCTCTGCCCACCACGGGTATCGAAACCCGGTTTCTAGTAGTATAAGTCCACAGACATACCACTGTGTCACTGGGGAGGGGGGGGGGGTTCATTTGACTCTAGTTTTCTAAAAGCAAAAAGACAAGAGCTCAAATGTAAGTACTAAATTTATTGTTGGTTTATTCATAATTTTTATTTGTTGTTGCATAGGTTAGTAAAATGTAAAAATTAGAAATTTATTAGGTTAGATAAGAAACTTAAATAAAAAAATTGAATCAAAAATTTTCTTTTGGTACTTAATATCCTAGCACCAGCACATCATATGGGATAATTTTAATGTCATAATTTGTTTACACAAAGCTGTGATAAATGGATTTTACCTACCCGAAGACAGTCTAAGTACAGCAATAAAACCGTAACTGAAAAGTCAGTTAGTTTTGGTTGTAAAGAAAATAGTGCGTAATTGTCTGTTACAATATGCAGTCATTCTAGAAATAAAAAAAAAGAGGTTAATTTATATATATTTCGTATTCTCAATTTGATCCCATGTTTCCAGATGTTCATCCACATAAATTGATTCAAAAGTGTAAAATCTATCCCTCCATCATGGCTTGAGAAAATGGATGACGGGTTGTTGTTCTGGTTTTTTTTTATTCCAAGAATTTGACAAATTTAAACAAACAAGGCTGACTAAATGTTCCGTCAATGATTTGAGTAACGTTCCCTAGGCTCCTCAAATCTTTAAACGGATTCATTGACGAGTTTCTGTTTCCTAGTTAAAAATAACATATGTTTTCGGCCATTTGATGAAATGGTACATCACAACCATGACACTGTTACTCTGTAGCAGAGGACGAATCACATCGACAGCAACTCTCCCAAGCGGTGCACAAACACAACACTGCCTCTTTCGTGGACGTTTCCACTCATAGCATACATCACGTAGTTTACAATTACTCTCCTCTTAACACCTAAATGCCCAGCTATTGTAAGGTCGTGGAGATGATGGAGTGCTCCAAAATGTAGAGATTGTGAAAGTATCGGCTACAGTCGTCATTTCTATCTACTGGTATCTTTCCATTTCTGACGTAATACGAGCTGTATGGAGCGACTGTTTGTCATGAAGGTTTTTCCACACTATTCTCCATTTACTGAATAATTTGTTTTAAACTCGTATCTTTTACCTGAACATATTTCAGTTGAGTGTTGGACCACACTAGTTCTTCACCATCATATGTGGATGTCCTAATTTAGATTCTTCCTGTTGTACTATAGGTTGACTTTATTACCTTTTGTTTCTCTCTCTTTACACAGTATTCGCATCCTTTGGTTAGTAGATTTCTGAGATAATACATCAGCATTTCCATGGTTCAATCCAAGGTACTATATTGAATTTATGCTCCTAAACCTCTGGAGTCATCTTGTCATCAGCTACTTCAACGTCACATCATCTATCTAGAGTGTAAACGTTTGTTCACATAGTTAATGATGGAAGTGACTCAAGTTTTGAACAACACATACAGTTCCTTCCAAGTTTCACGATACCCAAGGCCTTGTTACCGTATGTGATCACATGCCCTTTCTCATGTTGTACTTGTGATAAAACTCTCGTGATGCATGTTAAATCGCTCTCTACTGACGGTTAATATACGTTAGGGTTAGGTTTAATTGTCCGCGTACTTTATACCGTAACGGGTTATTATACAAATATAGATCTGAATGTACTGGATCTGTGTAGAACGAATGTTACATCTAATATAACTGGTGTATTTAAAGTTAGCTGTCTACTGACGGTTAATATACATTAGGGTTAGGTTTAATTGTCCGCGTACTTTATACCGTAACGGGTCATTATACAAATCTTTGAAGAACGAATGTTACACCTAATATAACTAGTGTATTTAAAGTTAGCTGTGTGGGCAACAAGTGTAGACACACAACGAAGTTAGATTTCTTGTTATCAAGCTATAGTCTTCAATATTAAACAAGGAGTTTTTGAATTATTCGAGTTACGAATACGCATTAACAACGACACCGTAATTACTTAGATGTGTCCCTATACTGACTATGTAGTTTAGAAGGTCGTATTTAGTAACGAACATTGTTTGATAAAACGTTATGTGTGTATAATAACAGTGCCACGTGGTATTAAACGTTTCTATTTTTTTTAGGTTGGAAGTTTTGAACGATTTGGTCCTCACGTGAACTTAACACTACCAGTATCAGCCAATGGTAATCTTTCTTTTGTTTGAACTCGAATGTGGTTTTTCATACGTGTTTTCAGAAGTGTGGTCCACATATAGAGCTTGTGGAGTGCAGCTACTGTTTAATTAATGTGGAATTAAGAAATTCTAAATCTGATTGGTTTAGTTTGTTTTGAATTTCGCACAAAGTCACACGAGGGGTATCTGTGCTAGCCGTCCCTAATTTAGCAGTGAAAGACTAGAGGGAAGGCAGCTGGTCATCACCACCAACTCCTTTACTAACGAATAGAGAGATTGACCGTCACATTATAAGGCCCCCAGTGGCACAGCGGTATATCTGCGGACTTACAATGCTAGAAACCAGGTTTCGATACCTGTGGTGGGCAGAGCACAGATAGCCCTTGTGTAGCTTTGTGCATAATTAAAAACAAACAAACACATTATAAACCCCCACGGCTGAAAGGGCGAGCATGTTTGGTAGAAGGGGGATTCGAACCCACGACCCTCAGATTGCGAGTCAAGCGCCCTAACCACCTGGCTAAATCTGATTGGATGGTTAGGGCAAGCACGTTGTTAACCAATAGTTAAGTCTATACTGCTAAGCCTGAGAAAGCTTTTCTAAATTTAAAGACTAGTTTTTGTAGAGTTTCCAAAATTTTTACTACAAGGATCATGCTTTTGATAGGTCAATCTCTTTCAGTGTTAAGAATCAGTTTAGCTAGTTTTCAGATAAAGTCGATAATACTTTTAACTTGCAAAAATATATAATCTAAGAACCGAAATCAAACTAACAACGTTTTTTTATGGTGTTCCTTGACACCCTTTATAAATAAATAAATATTGTGTAAAAAAAAAAGGTGTGTAATTGATTTTTTTTTATACACCTACAGAATGTTTGGTACATAAAACACCACACAAACATTAATAAAGTTCCTTTATTAAAATCCAGTAGATGATCAACATACAAATAACACAACGGAATGCATAATACCCAAAACATTATCTTTCAAAAACGTTCTGATTAAACACACTACTGATATTGATTATGCCCGAGCCTTACCTGCAGAAATACCACATACTAACAAAGCTCTTGTATAATCCAGCTTTACAATCCAAATTGTAACTACAATACTGGTAATGACTAATCTTGTTGCTCTGGTGGAGGATGCCGTAATACATGTATGTGTTTGTTTTTAATTTCGCGCAAAGCTACACGAGGGCTATCTGCGCTAGCCGTCCCTAATTTAGCAGTGTAAGACTAGAGGGAAGACAGCTAGTCATCACCACCCACCGCCAACTCTTGGGCTACTCTTTTACCAACGAATAGTGGGATTGACCGTCACATTATAATGCCCCCACGGCTGAAAGGGCGAGCATGTTTAGTGTGACGGGGATTCGAACACGCGACCCCCAGATTGCGAGTCAAGCTCCACTAACCACCAGGCCATGCCAGGGCCCTACATGTATATGAGAAAACTGTGTCAAAATGGTTTTAGGAATTTTATGCTAACAAAAGATGTACTTCACGAGAAACAGTATCAATCATAGATGTATTTTTTCAGACTTTCTCTTTCCTGAACCACAACACAAGAAACTTAAAGTTGTAAACACTATTTTAATTACAAAGTTCAAAATAATGTATGTCTTACCGAGAAGTCTGTCCTATTATCGTGAAGGTATTGTAAAAAAAAAATAATCCCAACTTATATGATAATTAATAATACTTGTGAGTACCTACTATAATATGGTTGGGTTTTGTTTTTGGTTACACTCATACAGTGTGTATCATTAAATAATGCCTAATTCTGAGCAAGGATAAATCATTTTGAATAACAAAGTGGATTTAGTATCATAATTAAAGGTTTTCACCAAAACTACCCATAGTTTAAAGATGTCATGTTTGTAACTGGAAATAAAAGTGAAGTTTTTTTTTTGCTAACTTCAGTACATCTATATATTATAAATTATTTAATAATTTACCTACTTATTCTTCTTCATAAAACATACTTACTCATAATAGAACAAATAAAAAAACAACAACATGTTCTTCATCCAACCACCTTTTCTCAAAGATTTCAGTAATCTAATTTTCACCATTTTTTATAAAAAGTATGTCTCTGGACCAGCATTTCTCAACCACCAGTCCATTATAACCACCTTGATACTCTATGGAATTTCACAACAAATGAACAAAAACTGACAGAATATTTGTAATATAAGTCATAATGGTTTTTCGTCGTACTTGTATTTTAGTGGCCCACGACAGTTTAGGGAAGCAGCTAGAAAATCACTAATATCGTAAAAGTTGAGAAATGCTACTCTCGGGTATCATATCCATAACGTAAAGGTAAAATTTTAAGAGAGAAACACAAGATTATCACATTTTATCATTTTATCATCTGATAACAAATATATATATTAACAAATGTAGTTGTATATATACAGGGTGGGCCAAAAGTAGGGTTACAGTTAACACTTAACATTTTCCTTTATTAGAAATTTAGACATTTATTTACGTACATTAT